ACTTCTAAAGAGTACTCGGTAATTTACGAGTTGGCTCTGGACCGGTAGTGACCCGTGTAAATCATTTACGACCTTACGATAGTAATAACATTTTTACCACAATGAATCGTCCCTATACTATTACAGTATTACCTAATATATTATAAGCATCAACATCTCCGAAGATCATGTTTCTGTGTTTGAATACTTCCTATTGATTGTTTTTGTAATAAAAATATCTTCAATGTGTAAACAATAAATTTAGTTTTTCGAATTATCCATCAATAATTATTAACGCCCAATTTAAATTTAAAAGTATATATTTAAAAATATATTAGGTATAATAATAATACGCTACTCAAAAGTATATCATTCATACAGATACTTAACTTAAGTACCTTGTAATAAGAATAATCTACTAAATAGTATGTTACTATAGTTGATGATTATTAATGAAAACTTATAAAATAAGTACCTATGACAAATTTAAAATTCACATGTAATTTTACTTTTTAAATTACAGTAGGTACCTATTAAATCTTAAATTCAGTGTGCCTAGCAGATATATGTAGCTTTTAAATTATGAGCATTTTTTTTTCATTGAATATTCCAATAATATATTGATTTAATATCTTAATTAATAAAGCACCCGAAATCTTTATAAATTGAAAACATTATCATAATAGTTCATAGATACTGATAACTGGTTTAAGTGCAATAATTAAACTACTTTTTAAGAACGTTTATCATTGGGAAAAACCATTTTGTTTTCAACAGTCGAAACCTTAATTGTTATACGATCAATTTTTATATTAATTATTTGTAATTTGTATAGTTATTTAATTTACCTAACTTAAGTTATAACTTATAATCGTGTAGTCACGATAGACGTAAAGTCGCATACAAGAGACATATATTATTAAATGTCTTTAACAGCATACAATATGAATAATATATATTATGATTTAACTTTTTTGGCAGTATACAATGTATACTCATAAAATTAACATTTAAAATATTATAAGTTTTAAATATAAAATTCAAACTCCGGAAAGCATCTAAGGACTAGGAACCATTAGACATTAGTAGATAAACCAGAATCAAAACCTAACTTAACCTCAATATAAATTTGATCAAATACATCAATGAAACCAAACAAAGACATTTATTATTTAATAAAATACTGCATTTTTTAAATACCCGCAAAATATGTAAATTATACATAGTCGACTAATAACGACGCAGCTTATGCCCAAAACTAATAAAATAAAGAATTTAAAATTAAGCCTTTTTGTATTTAAGTTTAATACTTTTAAATTATGATACGTCGTGTTAAAAACTACTAGAAATCCATAAGGGAGTACTACTCTTATGTACCTACCTAATATTCGTTTATTTTACATAATAAATATCATCTGAATTAGATTATTAAAACGACATTCGTTTCAAAAAAACCATTGAATTTTATTAATTTAGATTTTAAAAAATATTAAACAGTATACAATGTAATATACACTTATAACTAGGTATGTAAAAATTGACTGCTTAGGAAATCATAATAATGGATCATATAATAATAATTTTTATTGTTTTTGATTATATTCCAATACATATACAAATTTTGTTTTTGTTTTGCGTTTCCACGGTTTTTTTGCACTGCTATACTGTACATAGGTACCTATATATATTATGACCACAAAATACACTTGTTTTAAACGTTCATTAAAGTTTATTCACATGAGTGCTGCAGTGTGAACTGCGAAGACCCCAAATATTATCCGTGTGAACTATATGAATACCGCAAAGATGCAATTGACCAGCTATCAATAGAAATAAAAATACTGTTAACCTAACCTCAGTGTATTAGTTATATCGTCATATGTTTCATATCTTATTATCTCATTTTTTCATTGTTTCTTTGCTTGGATTTCATACTCAATTTTACATTCCAACCAATAAATCCAAATGAAAATTGTATTTTTTTTTTTGATTAACTTAATTTTATAGCTATACAAATTGTGAGGAATACAACTCACATGGTTGGAATACATATCGTGAATCCTGATAGTACGATACTACGATATTATTGTCTGCTAGCTAGTTATGCAAGTGAACTGACAGAGTTCGATGGACCATGTGTGTTGCTTTTTTGTTTAAATCTGAAATCGTTTGAACATTGCAATTTACTCTCTGCAATGGCTTGTTAAAATTATCCTTGCATACATTTTTAACTCATCCTATTAATCCACATAGTATTTTTACACTTTATATATAACCATTTAGAAAATAAAGAAAGTACCTAAAAGTACCGGATAGACACAAATTTAAAGTGATAACTGATAAATAACAACACCTTTGAGCACACAGTAAATGGCTTTTAACCTAAAAAAGGGTATCTAATGACAAAAAAAAAACATTGTAAAACCAATTTGTTGAATGCTTTACTCAGAAGACTATATAGCGGGTAAGTAAAATGTATAAAAAACAGTTAATCGGTGTTGCTTTAGGTGAGAAACACTGACCACAAGTGATGATCATTTTTCTCCAATATCTCAACAAATATTGTTGTAATTCGTAATTCGTTATAGGTATTCAAATACAATTAAATTTTGTGAGATTCCATTGGCAATGAATAATATTTATAAACAATTTTCACAATCAGATCCAGTATTACCTATAGTACGTCTTAGAAAAATAAATCTAATAGAAATAAAATTGGTTAGGTCATCGCTATGATTAGTACAACAGATAATAATAAAATACTGTTTTTTCCTCGGTAAAATATCTTATGAATAATAGTTATACGCTGAATACCAACTCCTATGATGATAATTGATAGGTAAAAACACATATATATTATATAAGACCCTAAATTTAAAATTAAAATCCTAATTTGAGTAATACAATTCTATAGGTGTGTGTTTAATGTCACAGTAAATAAATTACACTATTCAAACGGGAAACGAATTTTAAGTTTTGTTTCTCTTCTATTCTCTTCTATATTTTTAATTAAAAAAAAAACAACAACACCGGAATCATCCCGATAGACAGATAACTGACAAGTATATAATTTAATAAAAAAATAAGCAATTATTAATTACTAGTTTGAAATACATTTTATTTTTCAAAGTTACGAGAAATAAATTAACAACGACGTCGGGATTTAGGGACAACAATCATTATTATATATTATTCAACTTTTTTTATACATCTTATGCGAAGTAGGTACCTGAGGTGGTAATTACACAACAAAAATGACGCATTCATTAACATTAATTTATATTATGTTATTATTTTTTTTAAGTCAACAAATAAATATATTACATATTTGATATTATAATATAAATTCCAAACCATCAGATTTGCTATGAATCAGTTAGCATTCAATTGGAATGCCATCACAACTTTTATTATGTTATGTAAATACTTAGTTAGATTATACGCGTATAATCTTTACCCTGCACATTTTTAGTACGGAAAAAATGTCCAGTAGTCTTACAATTGAATAGTAAACACGTGTACATACTTAATAATATTGTTGTACAATACAATTTATAAATAGGTAACATCTGAAAATTTGAATCGTATTATTCTTGAAATTATTATGAGTTTACACACTTCGGTTAAATTATTCTAAATGTTGAAAACATAGTGGAACTTGATTTAAATTAGTAAATTAAGGTTGAAAACACAAATAATTTGTTCAGAGTTGAGTAGGTATAATATTTAAAAAATACATACCTAATATTTATTATGATCAAATAAAATATCAAACGTATAAATTGTATGGATATTTTTTATGATTTTCGTGTACAAGCATATATATATGAATATGATACAACGATGACGGCAGTATAAAGTTGATTGATGTAGGAACTCTGTGTGTCTGTGGGTACATTGTAGGTACATAGTAAACATAATATACTGTTTACTGTATAGAAACACTCAAACACACAATGAAGGCTATTTTGTATTTTTTAAATAATGTTTATACGCATAATATAGATGAATTATATGGTTTTATATACCATATTAATTATAATTAATATGATTTTACATAAATAAACATTTCTTTGTTAATTTTAAATATAAAAGATACAGAACCTTAACACTGTTTTCCATATCGTTACATATGACCAATCCCAACCTCAACCTAAATAATATTTAGAATACTCGTTCATCGTTAATTAAAATAATGTACCTACCTGTTTATATTGTATTGTGCTGTACTTTTTTATTTTCTACTAGATGTTAGTATCAAATGATATAATATTATATATATTCATATTTTATATGTTATCAACACAATTATGGTATTATTCATGATTTAAGTAAATCCTATTAAATATGCATAAATAAAGTATAATATCACTTTAAATGTAATGACGAAGTTTACAGGTAGATATATATTTTGTGTAGTAAAAAGAATATATCTGTAATAAAAGTATTTTATCATTTAAATAATTTTCGTTTTGAAAATTGCAGTTTTCATTAAACAATTAAAATACTTCGAGGTACTGGTACATATATTCATTATATTAACTGGTCTAAATATATTATACAAAGTAAATTTAATAATTTGACATTTTATGACCTAATTTATGTTCTAAAGGTAAAAATTTTCATTTTTTTTAACAAAAATATTCAAATTAATTCCTATCGATTGATGATTAATTACGACTGAACCCATTCTAACTTCTAAGCTTGTAATTCATAGGTACTTAATTTATACATACTTAAAAAAATAATTATAATAGTATACTTAACTTTAAAATTATAATAATATGTTCTTATAAATTTATGCACGCCAATCTTTAAGTCCACCACCACAATAATATAATAGTTGTTCAAACCACTCTAAAACCCAGAACCCAAGTTATCAAAACGATGTCCGAACTTTTTTACGATGAAGTGGAAGGGGCAAATAAATTATTTTGGCGTCCGATGGTCGTCATGGGAACGGAGATTGGGTGCCGGCAAACGATCTGAGACGATGGGTTTGAGGAGGAAGGATCTCGCGGCTATTTGTAGGGCGCCGAATGGATTGTGTTGCGAATTCAGTCGTCGCGGCGCTGACGAACAAGCGATATTATTCTAGCCGACGGTGACCTCAACGGTCGTGTATTAATTCGTTCATAAATTCGCGGGTAAGTAAAAAAAACTTTGATATTTTTAACTTAGGTTTATATAGTTAACATTAAGGATATGGTATTTTATTTTATTTATTTTTTATTTATTTCTTACATTGCATAAAATTATACCGATATAAGTTTAAAGAATCATTCAATTATGAATTATGTAAAAATTGAATGTGCACAATTTATTTCTTTTAATTGGTTTGGCTGTTGAAATAAAATATATGATATTCGATTTTAAAATCACAATCATCTAGCATAGTGTAAATATTAATATAAAACATTTAATGAATGAATTTAGTTAATAAATATAATATTTTCATTACAAATTAAATGATTTTATTTAAATAATGTACTAATGTCAAATACTTTCTTCGAACAAGAACTTTTCTCATTAGTTAATATAATTTTAAATTTAAGTTATACTTACAGATTACCGTATATAGGCACCTTACATTTGATTATGGTTATTATTCAAGCTATTTTAAATCAATCTAAACCAAATGAATTTAAACAATCATAAAAATAGGTATAATCTTTAATAAAACTTACAAAATTTAAGAAATAAATTAAACAATTTTTTTAGCAATATAATAATTGCTAGTATATAATCTGTGATTCGAAGTTGCTGAGTTTTACATTTTTTAGAACTCATTCAGTTCATATGTTCCTAGCATAAAATTTTTATTTAGTACTTTTGCCCTAAAAGTAAATACATGTAGGTGGTTAATACGACATGATATTTCAAAAAACCTGTAACGTTGATATTATTGTACAATATTTTTGATTATTATAATTCTATTATTAAAACACAATTTTTCATGATGTACCTTCGTTGCAAATAAATTACGTGTTATGCGTCCATTAATCGTATTTAATTAATATTATGGATTTTAATTGTTCAAATTTACCTATATTTTTATTTTTATTATACATCCCAATGCCAACACAAGGTTTACCGTTGACCGTTAAGTTTCGTTAAAAGTAGATACATCGTTAAGTTTTTTACGCTGTAATTTCCCTGATTATCAAATAATTATAATCTTCTGTTGTTTACACGTATATACGCGTTGATAACGAATCAAATAATTTATTTATTTACTGTACGTACCCATGTGGTATTGTTGTTAAGTACGTTGTATATTAATTTATTATAATTTTTAACCAATAAACCTCATAACACACGAGGTGAAAAAGTACGTGGTCAAAGTAAAACAAAACGCACGCATTTGAAATTTTTTATACCTGTTAAGAGGATTAAAATCAGTGATGATTTGCAACACGCAACTTAGGAATTCAGTCGTATTCGATTTCCAGTGCGTACCTATACACCGATACCTGGCTGTATTGATATAATCATACGGTAATAGGATTTTTGAAAACGAAATTCTATGCATTTTTTTAGCATATATTACTTGATTATAATTTATAAGTATCCAAGATAGTAGCATTTGAAAAATTCGATTTCATCGTGTTCATCTTTGTTGCTGTTAGTATTGTTAAATGTTTATTAAATTACTGCTTCAAAATTGCGTATAAGCATAAAAATCCGGAACCTATTAGATTCAATCAAAACAACTAAATTATAGCCTATAGAACCCAACTGGCGAGAAAATAGTACATAAAATAATTAATTGAAAAATTAATTAATTTTGAGACCCGAGTGGTAGCAGTCACTTTTCGATAATTATTAGCATAAGTATTGAGCAAGTCATTAATATATTTTTACTCGTTACGTTGAACTTAAAGTTGTCTTAAGTTTAAAGTTAATAAATTCAAATTTTAAGCAAAACGTATTCAAATCCCTCGTTAAATTAAATTGCATATAATATACTCAGCAACAGAAATAGTTTATTAGATACATTTAGATTTTAAATTGTTATTGCTTTAACTATTACCTATACTGAAGACGATATAGGAGGTACTACATAGCGGGCTTATGATACTATGTACATTTATAATAGAGACGCGCATTTAAAAAATGTTTAATCTAAATAATTAGATATAGATTAATTTGAAATCAAATCAACACGTTTGGTGTACGAAGAAAAATCGAGTTTAGTCAAAAGTGAATAACAAAAATTAATAACTTTTTACGGGACTTGAAAACACGGTAATAACGGCTCATCTCGGAAATGCCCAAGACCAGCACGGATGTACTTGGTTGATACCAATAAAAATATATACATTACATTATTCACAGGTATCCGCACGCATAACCGCATGGGTGATGTATACTATGTAATGCATAATAATATACAGTACGCATACCCGGTTTATAACAGCTAGGTATATAATTAGAATGCGTTAGGTAGGTAATAGCGCTTATATGCACGCATCGTGTCTGTCGGGTTGCGAAACGTGACCGCCGCGCCGCCGACGACGTCCGTCGCAAGGCCGGACCAGTTGGTCGTTATAACCGGTAGCTAGTACAGTATTTTTGTTATTTATTATATTATAATTTATGTATAAAGATTCGGTGTTTACGACCCGTAATTCCAATATGGTTCATATTTTTTCGTCTAGTTTTCCACTCATGCCGACTACGCTATCGGAACGTTGAAATACATAATAATAATATTAATAATGTTATAAACACGCCGATGCACGGAAGCTCGAGTGTAGTAAAATTGTTGAAGCGAACTCATTTTTTTTCATTGCTATTGTAGGACATAATATTATTTTTTCGGCTAGAACAACGTTTGAATAGTATTCAATTTCGAAACTTATTCTCTAACATTTTCGGTTTTGAGGTCATTTTTGTTTTTGCAGATCACTTATTCTGTTTTGCAGACTATTTTTTTTATCGTTGTTCGATATTTTAACAGGTAATGTTTAGCATTTTCGGGGATCCGAAATTCATATTATTTAACTTAAATATTTTTGTGATTTTAAACGAATTGTATAATGCACTCGCATCCGTGCATGCAAAATATGCGTATATTTGCGATAATATTCGGTAACTAGGTCTCTTGCTCTCGTCTCAAAACAATGGACGTCTGTGGGGTGTCCTAAGACGGCGCATTATACTATTATAATCATATAGCAGGCACACACACGGAGGTGCCTTCACCAGCTACCGCATGCTCGAGGTGGCTAGCCCCGCGGCCATTGCGATTTTCGGGAAAACTCGAGTGGCACGCCGAATGAATATTATTTGCGTCACACCAGTCTCAGGAAACCGTTAACCGGAACCCGAGGGCCGGTAGGGACTTGTTGGGTAAGAAGATGTATCATGACGTATATAATAATATTATACAGTTTTTCAAACGCGAGACGTAACGTTATAATAGTAATGATGATGTTATTAATACCTATTTGCGACCGTCGTGTATATATATAATGCGTGCGCGATGCTAGCAAATAGGTGCTAAATACGAGTTTTTTAATTTTTTCACCTTGATGTTTTTTAACGGATCGGACGTTACGCGCACATGGCCGTCGATCTTTCGCCAATTTCATTGCGGGTATAATAATAGCACATATGAAACTCGTTTACAACAACATCTAATGGCCTACATATTATTTTAATAAAATACATTCCGAGTGCGCGGTTACCTGCTCACCCATAATAGGTGCGTGTATGCAGATTTCAGTGGACTACGCTGTAGAATATGCCTAGCTACATTGCCCGGAAGATGTGCTCGGGTGGGCATGAGTCAGACTCGATCGTTGTCGTTATAATAATTTTGCCCGGCGATTCTGCGACGCCTTACCTTGCATTAAGTTATGCATATATTATTATCATAATTGTCGCACAAAACAAAAAACACTAGCCGTGCGATGTGTGAGATTTGTCACGATACCAGCAATACCTAATAATTATTAGGCGTGATGAGAGGAGGACAAACGAGTTCATCGACCATCATCAATGTTGATCGTCAAGAATAGTATATGACATTTGCACTAGTTGTATATATAGATAAGTAAAATTATTATAGTTTTCGTTTCAAAAACATCCCATAACATTTGTTTGAGAGGAACTTATAAATTAAATTATTTTAGTATGACGTCTTTTGATACATTGTTTAAATCTTATTCTATCAAATATCATTATTCGTTACCTGTACTCAACTTTGGATAAATAAATATAGGTATATATATTTAGGTATGCATGAGATATGTCAATATGACGTGTTCTCAATAAGGAAACAGAAGTTAAAATAATACTTTTTTATAGTCTTGAATAATGTTTTTTTTTTTGTAATCAACTACTGCATTGAGTAAGCATAATATTTAATTGCAAATGACCCAAGTGTTCTTACATTTATTTTGTTCGAAAAATTACTTTGTTGTATGGAATTAATTGTTGATCCATAATTAAATCAACTCACGGGTACTTTTATAGTTTTATTCAAAAAGATTTTAATCGTTACATAGTATGAACAATATGATAGTAATATATTATTATTGTTTATTATTTTGATTAGGTACATAACGAGTAATAATATATACCTACACAGAGACATAGATGATATATACTATACATTGTATACACGTACCTTACTTAAAACAATATTAAATTAGCGATTCTGAAGGACTATATAGAGGTAAACGCGCATAAAAAAAATATTCCGTATCAACGCATAAACACGATTTAAATATTGCTTACATAATAACTTATTCTATTGAACAAACCGTTATGCTTCGATGCTGGAAAAGTGCTACTTGTAGACCTTAATATGTTATTGTGTAAAACTGTCTACAATATTGTGAATTTGGTACTTAATAAGACATCATAAAATAACGATAAATAGGTACCCATCATACATTTTGACAATTCACGTATTGTAAGCACGGATGTAGACATTAGATCCTTACAAAAGAGATTCATCGTCGTTTAAAGCTATAGCCTTGAAGAAAAACAAAACGATAAATACTAGGTATATTATATTATTATGTTTTGTATGGTTTATCAATAATTTATGGTATTCATTTTTTATGGAAAACTATTATAAAAATCACAAACAACGGCAATTATGGTACATAAATTAGAGGTATTCATTTTTATAAAAATTAAAAATGTAATATTTCTGATTAAAAAGCTGGTCCAACTAGACCAAAAAAAAATGTTATTCAGTAACAAACGATTTTGAAAAATTCATATATTCATTGAATATTTTAGTAGGTATTAATTTTTTTTATATAACATTTCATTATGTTGGTACTATTATAAGTAGCACTTATCTGTTATTATTTCATTAATTTATAAATGTTGATTAGTTTATACTTAATACACCAAAATCTATGTATGGTAGTGAATGATATTTATAAAAGATAAGTTTCGTAGCCTTCTGTTGACTATTTATTTTTCTTTATTTTTTATAGTTGAAAAGTTCTAGTTGAAAGCGATTACACAAATCATTTGTCTATGCAAATGAGAACTGTCTTTTTTTTGTAATCAGTGGGCGACGGTGGCGTTTTACTAACGTCAACCAATGGCAAAATAACTTAATAATATGGATAAAAAAATAAAATAAATAAAAACGTCGCACAGTATTAGTTTTTACGTTTTAACGATGCGTGCATGTGTGGATTACTTGCACGGTAACAAAACGGGCCGTGTTAGAGTTCTTTCAACAAGATATCTGATACATTGGATATAGGCAGAAGTGGAAGCAGAAAAGACACAAGTGGGGAGGGGGTATCATACACTTTCGTTGTTGTTTTAACATAAGCCAAATACTCCAAGAATCTCATAAAAAAATAAAATAAAATAATAATGCTCTCGTGGGTATATATTTAATAATATAGGTGGTAGGTGTAATACAACTTCTAAATAGGTAAACTATGGGGAAAATATATGATTAGGTATGTAAACGAAACACTGCAATTTCAAAAATAAAGATATTTACATCGGTATGGATTTGACGGCAGAACTTACGAAACCGGTTTACAGATTACAAATCATCAACCGTCAGTGAAAAAAAATATCATAGAATTCAGCACCTATACCTGAAAATATTAATTTCATTTAAAACTCAAAATATAGGTGGCAATCAATTAGGTGCTCGTTAATTCGTTCCGAGTGATCGAACACAGCGTTTTGATGCGCTCGTCCTGCGACCGTGGCGGTTTTTCTGAAAAGTGTCATTAGCCGCACGGAAATCACGATTTAAGTACGAGTGTTGTACACGACCATACGCGTAATTATTATGCACGAATTACCTGTGCTCGTCGGCGGTGAAGTGTTCGACCAGACAGTACCGGGTACATCCCAATGTCAATGTCGCGTTTGTGGAGACTGTTATTATCGAGAGAGAGAGAGAGTGTGTGTTAGGTACACTACGCCGTCGTCTCCGGCTGGTTGTTATGCCGAATTATGGCTGAAAGACGACGACATTACGATGTGATACGTTGAGCGATCATAATATTATTATAAATGATAAATTATTACAATTATTATTATTATTATATTATGTCCGATTCACGGTTCGTTTGTTCGTCGACGATCGACAACAAGGGCCGAATATTTTTGTTTGTTGTACATAATAATATTATTCCACATATTCGGGCTTCGGGCGATCTGAAAACGGTATGGCTCGATCGTAGTTCACCGGCGGCCACACTTTGGCCAATATTTTAGTGGCGTGAGTTCATACAGTGGGCGGCGATTAATTTCAGGAGCCGGTATAATTGTGTATTATCATATACCTCCTACGCATGTTATTAATCATGATCTTATGATAATAATTGTACTATTATCAATATTTTATATCGTCTTAAAAACATTTTATACTTATAACGTTGTACTCTGTACCTATATCTTCTCAGTGACTTAATTACGAGGGTGCACGACGTTGCACTTGTGCTCCACTGCTCCCTGCGGCTAGCATGTAGGTTATTGGTAGGCCTTGATATGATTTTTCACCTGCTGAATCCTATTAAAATAAATTACTATTTCATTTTTTCGATAAAAGTTAGCAAAATACTGGACAAATAATATAATAACGTTACGATTATGTATAACTTTTCAATTAGCCCTGTCATTATCATAGAATACATTTTAATAAAATACAATTTTTTATCACTGTAAATATTGTATTTTTATGTGCATGTTATGAAGTGTATACAGTAATACAATACAAAGATATCATGTTGATAATAATTTTGATGGCTTTGAAATTTGAATATGACTTACGTAATTTGCCTTTATGATTATTATTAGACCAATGAAAGTTTTGCACTGAAATTATATGGAATTTAGCCGACGGTGCATCACCATGGTAGTGGAAAGGAGATAAATAAATAAATAAATACATTACTTATTTTTGATTTATATGCAGATACATATTGTTTTTTTATTGATTCTTGAGTTTTCAAATTGATTTTTAAGTTTTGTTTTTGGGAGGGGGTGAGTGCTTTCAAGTGTTTAGGGAAAACGAGAATTGTTAATTGTTATCTATACAATTTTCTACTAATCAAATCAGGAATATCCTTATCAACATTCTATTCCCGAACCATTTATCTGATAACATTATCTTCAATAGAAATTTATAATTTATTACTTCCTCTTCGTGTACTATATGTTTAGAAAATAGTATTTTGCATATATACGTACAATTTGACGTGAATACGCACTAGACCTTGATCGTACAGAATCCAATCCTTGAACCTTGATCATCATTTTTACTATTCGCTACAATGTCATCACGTCATCAACACACCATTCAAGTTTTCATGTGAATCCAATTGAAGCTCATGACATCATTATTATAAGTACATACATGCCGTTCACGAGCTATATTGACACACAAAAATAACACGCACGTACACGCATACATTCTGTACGTGTTTTATGATAAACGTGACTTTGATTACAAAAAAATATTAAGTTGGCTCGACTATTTTGGATTAATAAAATATTTAAATGCCCCAGTATGATTATTAAGTGTATAGATATCATTTTATGCGTTTAAAAATGTTTTAAATATAATATAATAGTGACATGATAAAATAAAATAAGATAATCAAAAATGAAGGTACAACGAAAAATCCTAATTCTTCTTGTTGGTTATAACTTTTAAGATTTTATTTTACGGATAAGCTAAATATGTTATTAATTGACTGATTAATTAGCACATTTTAAAGTACCAATTGAAATAATAGTCAGGCATTTGGGCACTTAATTGGTTTGTATATCACGTATGATGTATACAACTGTGTTGACATGTTGTCCACTTTACTCATTTATATATACCTATATCCATACTAATAAATTATGTGCCACATATTCGAACCGTAGGTAGGTATTATTAAGTTCATTTCTAGTATAGTTCAAAATAATAAAATGTTCAAAATAATTTTTTATGTAAAATACTACATTTTTTTAGGATGATTTAAATTTAAATTTCAACATAGATCTCAATGGTGTATACAATTAGCCATTATGACATTTTGAAATATTCCTTGCTGTAAAAAAAAATGTTTTACCAATATGGTTTACTGCTGTAAACAACGTGATTTTGTGACTCATATAGAACCCGATGGCGCTTCGTCCGATTTGCATAGTCATTTCGGTCAACGGCCAACCATGACCTCCTCTCTTCGACCTCATAAAACACGATCTGGTCGTATGAAATATCAAACCCACCTCCCCCAGCTTTACTTTCTCGTCTACTTCCGTGTTAATTTCTTGTACTCTTACACACATTTCTTGGATAAACACATTTATATTCATCTAGTATGCCTTCTCTAATGTATTTGATAGTATCAAGACATTCATCATTATGTATTTTATTTGTATATTGTATAGTGTGCTACATAGACGAATGATAATTTATGGATTAACGTAATGTTATGAATTGAGTTAATATTTTATATTCGTCTATCTGAAGCTGTAATCGGATAGATCATACTAATAGAATATAGATTTTCCAGATTACATTTTAAATAACAACTTTAATAGATCTGTTTATAATGATAGGAGTATGGGACACATGCGTAAATATAATTTTAAAACAACCATATACATAACCAATATACGGAAAACAATGTTTGGTTGATCTAACTTCAATTTTAGGTACTTATTATCTGTAAATTACAGTTCACTATAGACTATAGCATTGCTTTATTTTTAGTTTCAGGTACTATTAATCTATAGTTGGAAGTTTATAGTTTATACTTACAAGTAACACAGTTTATTTTTTGTATCTATATAATTTAGGTACGTAATCTTAAATCACACTCGTTGTAAAATCCTATATAATAGATATTTATGTTGGATTCGTGTGTAATTAATATCAGATACCTACCGGCTACCAACTACCAAGCCAAATATTTTATACTCACACGACCATTAATCATAATTAAATAAATATGGGTTAAGTACTTACTACCATTTAACCAGATAACTGTATTTATTCTACTATTGCCAGTTATTTAGGTTAATCAGTTAATTTGATATATGTCAATTATTTTATATGTGTAATGTATTTTCAATTGATGCAATTTTATATTCCCTTTTATACTACCTATAGATATTCGCATATTCTTATGGGTATAACCGGTTTATGATTCCGTTATTTTAAAAGATAGTATATTTGCATATAGTATAACATTTTTAACCACATATTACAGACAGTTTTTTCTGGTGTGTAATACTAGACAATATTTTACGGTTGAAGTAGTTTTCCGGCCAATGAGTCCTTTAAAGAGTTAAATGTATTTATTTCTAATTGTTTTGTTTTCAGGAAGATTTTTATTATATTATAACTAAGTGACGAATCATATACAATCATGGTGGGTTCGATGAGCCGAATCATCGTCTTAGTGTGCATGATTTACTATTCTACCTGTGGTATGTCTTAATGTATAACATCAGATATAAACAAATACATTTTTTTCTTATTTTGTATTACAGACGTAACTAGCAGAGAATCAAGAGCTAGTTCAAGTCCCACGGAAGGAACATTTAATTGTAAATCAGAAGGATTTCATCCAGACCCGTCTGACTGTACGTCATTTTACAGATGTGTTAATTTTGGAGCTGGCACATACTACACCAAGTTTAAATTTCAATGTTCTCCTGGAACTGTTTTTGATCCAGAAAACTCTGTATGCGTACATCCTTCTTTTTCTAATAGAGAAGAATGTAAAAATGTACAATTTAGTAATCCCGAGCCTGAACCTAGCCCAGAAGAATCTAACTCGTGGAATCCACCACCTAACAGTGCTCCAAATCAACCAAACTCTAATAAACCAAATAACTCGGGTTATGGTTCAACCGCTCCCGAATATTTAAATCAGCCATCTTCAAACTATGATTATGGGCGCCCACAGACTGGTTACAAGCCGACACAAACTGAATATGTTCAACCACAATCACCACCAAGTTACCAACCTCCCCCCTACATACCACCACAACCAAACTCTCCACCAAATAATTATAAACCTCAACAGTCAGGATATGTAGAATCTCAACCTCAACCAAGTTACAATCAGCCACCTCAATCTGGTTACATTCCATCTTCGTCACAACCAGCTCAAAAACCTAATTATAACCAACCTCCACAACCTGGTTATGTACAACCATCATCGCCACCGGCACAACAGTTCAATTATAATCAACCACCACAATCTGGTTACAACCCACCTAGTCAACAATCTAGCTATAACCAACCACCACAATCTGGTTACATACCACCTAGTCAACAACCAAGTAACAATCGACCACCGCAATATAATTATGTGCAACCTGTAGTATCAACATCACAGCCAAATTATTATCAACCATCACAACCTAACAATAATCAACCATCACAACCTAATTATAATCAACCGCAATCGACTTACGCACCTCCTGTTCAACCAGAAGATGGCTACAATCAGCAATCATCATCAGAAAGTCCTGCAAATGAAGTAGAAAATGAATTACCTGATCAACCAGAAGAAACTAGTTCTAGTGGACCAAATTGTGAGTCAGAAGGATTCCATCCATACAGTGAAGGTTGTAGTAAAAAATTCATAAGGTGCGTAGACAAAGGTGATGGGACTTTTACCAAGTATGAATTTGACTGTGGTGAAGGAACTTTATGGGACGATAGTCAACAAACATGTAACCATGCTAACCTAGTAAATTGTGGAACCACAACGGCAGCTACACCTTCCACAATACAATCAGATTCTACCGTAGCGCAGCAAATAACTACAGCCAACATATGGTCTACTTCAGTAACATCTAATTCATCTATGATGTCAAGCTCAAGTTCAAGTTCTAGTAGTTCTTCAAGTAGCCAGTTTTCAACTTCAGCTGTCACTGCCGGTCAAACAAATGGAGGATTTAACCAACAATCTCTAGGTGCTTCTTCAACAACAGTTGCTATGAATCAAGGGTCAAATCAGGCTGAAAGTTCTAGTACAAATCAACAATCTGCTTCTTCTGGTGCTAGTCAAGCTGCAACATCTGGATTTAACCAACAAACAACTAGTGCTGGAGCTAATCAACAAACTACTAGTGCTGCAGCTAACCAACAAACAACTAGTGCTGGAGCTAACCAACAAACAACTAGTGCTGCAGCTAACCAACAAACAACTAGTGCCGCAGCTAATCAACAAACCACTAGTGCCGCAGTTAACCAACAAACAACTAGTGCTGGATCCAACCAACAAACAACTAGTGCTGGATCTAATCAACAGACAACTGGTTTTGGATCAAATCAACAAACGACTAGTGCCGGAGCCAACCAACAGACAACTAGTGCCGGATCTAACCAACAGACAACTGGTTTTGGATCAAATCAACAAACAACTGGTGCTGGATCTAATCAACAAATAAATAATTCTGGAAATAAACCAACTTCACCAATGTCATCGACATTAAAACCAACAACGCCTATTTATACAACTAAAAAACCACCAGTACCGACGACTCAAAAACCTACTACATCTAAACCAACTACTACACAGCCGACAACTCCAAAACCAACAACTCCAAAACCAACAACTCCAAAACCAACAACTCCAAAACCAACCACTTCAAAACCAACCACTCCACAACCAACCACTCCAAAGGCAACCACTTCACAACCGACAACCTCAAAACCAACCACTTCAAAACCAACAACTACTACACAAAAAACCACTACAACAACTACTAAAAAACCAACTCAATACACTTCAACTTCTAAACCAACAACTCAATCAACTTCAAAACCAACTGTTACGACAACCATTAAACCTGTAAATTCAAAACCACCTGCAAATCCAACAACGATTGCTCCCACAAATAAACCATCATATCAATCATCAACAACAATTAAACCAATAAGTCAGCAATCTACGAAAAAGCCACCTACCACAACTGTTACCACATCACCATCTACACCAGACACTTGCACTTCAGAAGGATTTTTCCCAGATTCTAAAGATTGTAACAAATTTTATAGATGTGTAGGTAATGGAAAAGGATTTACTAAATATAACTTTGATTGTGGGCCAGGAACGGTTTGGGATCATGTAAATAATGTATGCAATCATCCATGGGCAGTGGATAGAGATTGTTCTAAATCGAGTTCGTCGTCTACGACTGGACCAACAGAATCAATTGTATCTAGCAGTTCTGAAAATCCAATATCAAATCAACCTAGTTACCCAGAAACATCCACAGCATTGCCTACCAGTCCTTCCTCTCAGACATCAATAAGTAGTCAAACTACCCAAACCCAAACTTCAACATCTACTTCTAGTCAACAAACATCTTCAACCACAAGTCAAACAGTTATATCGTCCAATAATTCAACTGCCCCTTGTAATACTTCACCAAAGCCACCTAGTAAAATAGTATGCAATGGAAGTGGATTTTTCCCTCATCCAGATGATTGTAAAAAATTCTATAGATGTGTCGATTGGGACGGCGATAAAGGTGAACGGTTCTCTGTGTACCACTTCGACTGTCCTGAAGGAACAATTTTTGATCCTAGTCTAAATGTATGTAATCACGAAGCTTCTGTTTACCCCCCCAGAGATTGTTCTGGATCAAGCACTCCGCAAATTAATGGAACTAGTACTCCTGCTACTGCTGTGACTACTACCACTGAAGCAAGTACTATAGTAACAACTGATGGTCAAATTGAAACTACAGGACCATCTGAAACGAATGAACCAGAAGTAAAACCAACTTCAAGTATACCTGAAACAGAATCTACTACATCTAGTCAACCAGAAACTTATCCACCAACAACTAATCCAACGGGAACTGATCCAATAACGTCTAGTCCAACAGAGACTACAACTAGTCAAATAGAAACAAATCCACCTACGACAAGTCCAACGGAAACAAATCAATCCACGACTAGTGAGACAGAACCTTATTCACCAACGACAAGTCCAACAGAAACAAACCCCCCAACGACTAATCCGTCGGAAACAAATCCTCCAACGACCAATCCATCGGAAACAAATCCTCCAACGACTAGCCCATCCGAAACTAATCCGCCAACTACAAATCCATCAGAAACAAATCCACCTACAACCAATCCATCAGAAACAAACCCACCTACAACAAGTCAAACAGAAACAACAGATTCTGAAACAAATCAACCGTCGACAGAAACATTACCCGCCACAACAACTTCGCCAGAAACTTCAAACTCTACCGACAATTGTCCACCTTTGGAACCTGATCAAGTTTCATTAGTGTGTCCAACAGGTTTTAGAAGACATCCAAAAAATTGTAACCTATTTTATCAATGTACAATAGCACCTAATAATGACATTAAGGTATTGGTCCTCGCGTGTTCAAATGGTACGTTCTATGACCAAAAAAGAACTCAATGTTTACCACCAGATGAATCTGAATCCTGTCCATCAATTGATGTACGCCGGTTAGAACCACTTGGAGAAGAACAACCAACTGTAAGTTATTACAATGGAGTTCCCAAATATGCTTACATTAAAACTAATTTATGTTTACATTAAAAAGGTCCAGATTCAACCTTACCGGCAGTTATGTCCATCAGAAGGAACGTTTGGTTCCCCAACTGATTGTCAAACTTTTGTAAAATGCAATAGAGATGCTAAAGGACTTCTCAGTGGTAAAATATTAAATACAATTTTATGGGTAATTTCGATCAATTTTTCTATGTAATATATGTTTGTTTCTAGGGCAAATGTTCCAATGTCCCGAAGGTCAGAGCTTCTGGGATACATCTAAGAAATGTGAGAAAAATAGGAAAATACCCATGTGTAATAAACTCGGTCCAAAATTAAATTGGCAAACGAGTCTTGCCCCTGTACTTGCTGATTAATGAAATTTAATTTTATAGACCAGAATTTCAAATAACAATGTATAATTAGCTCAATCTAAATGTATGTTAGTTTAAGATTATAATAATAATTAATGAGTAATTAAGTATTTAAATTTAATTTAGATTAAAATTTGTCTTCATTTTGAAAAATGTTTCAAAGATTTACCTAGGCAACCAAATTACAAAATATGAAATTGATTTCCTAGGTACCTAAGTTTAGTTTGCGAAAATATGGATAGAAAAATATTATTTGTAATAAAATACCTATCAAGTATTAGATATTAGGTTTCTAGGTATTAATTTATTATTAATGATTATTTATAACAATATCATATTCATGTTATTAGACATTGATTAAATAATACATTAATACCTACCTATGTTTAAAACATATGCACTTGATTTCAAAAATAATGTGCCATACTAGACAAGTATTTTTGCTTAATAGTTGCATAAATCTTTGAAACATTTTTTAAATATTACAAATGATTAGGCGTAAGTTATATTTTTATTTTTTTTTTAATACAATATTGTGATGATTTTACTGTTCATTTTTTTATCTTATTTATAAATGTTGTACATACATTTTTTACGAAACATTAAAAATATATTAATAATTTAATTTGTGCAACCTTTTTTTATATGTTGTAATATTGTTCAATAATTTAAACAATCATGTAGTCATATAAATAATAAGTAGGTATTCTTAGATATTAAATATTATTTACTTTGATGAATTTGATGTTCTCAAACTGTAAAATATTATTACATTTAAATATATACTAATATTAAGTCTTTAAAGTTTAAACTAAAATTAGACTTATAATTTAAAGTTTATCTTTTAAATTACCTACATCAATAAAATTATTATTAACTGAAAATATTCACTATCTACAACATTTTTTATTAAGATAATGGTGAAAAACAAAAATATACGATACCAAAACCAGTTTTGGACACGCTAATTTTTTATTTCTTGTAATTCCAAAATGAATAACCAACCTTAGAAAGGTACATGAAATTTTCACAAATTATCTATATTAGATTTTTCTATTTAAGGTAAAAACGCGAATATTCCATGACTCGCTTGAGACAAAAAGAAAAAACAAATTGTGCGCTGACATCGTATAATAATGATTATTGAAACCAAACCATAATCATTCTTTAAACGTATTATAATTTATAAATTTATTTTCATTTTATCATGATTTAAAATTGTAGTCATAATTTTTACTTCTCAGTGTTTAAATGTTCAGATCTTTAATAAGATTCACCGGTGCAGGGTGAAGCCCATTACCATATTTGGCTTCCAAATCTCTTTAGACATTTATCTGGGCAAACAACAATATTAAATCCGTCATTTGATTTATCTATATTAGGTTGGATTCAAATAACTTTTAAAAAAATGTTCAAAAATGATAAAACTTCAATCTAACTTCAAACACACCATATTTAATATATAACTTCTTAATTATATTAATAAACTTGTAATAACATGTAAGATGTTGACACATTTTAAAAGTAAAATAAATTTAAAAAAAAACTATTGGTTTTTTTTTAAGCTTATGTCAATAAAAAATGTTTCACTCAAAAAACTTGTAAATGTAATACAAGGTTCCTCGTAAGTTGTTGTTAATGAAAATTAAAAAAAGTCGAGCTTAAATCCACAATAATTTTTTATGAGCGTTTAAACTTAGATTTTTGACAAAATTCGTAAAATCACGAAAATTAGTAAATTATTTTGAGTTTGAAATTCATAATATTATGTTTTCTTTTTACACCTAATATTTAAAAATGTAACAAAATATTTCTTATAAGTTTGTATACCTTTATAAAAAAAATTTCTACTGGAAAGTCAGCATTTGAAGTTGAAATTTTTGCGACATAGGATATTCACTCGATTTCTCATATAGCAATTTCCTTATTTTGTTGTAACTCAAAAACTAATTACTGTAGACACTTGAAATTTAGACCATATGTTTCGTCAATTTATGTACTTGATAAAATGTTCAAAATATTTTGACTCGTTTTAAGCTGTTGGCGGACTTCTTCAATTTTCATTTTTATTTCACTTTTTTTCTATAAATATCAATAAAATTGTATTGGTCTGGTCAAAAAGCATGAACATTTAATACAAGACTCTTGATGTATTGTTACAATAGCAGTTGAACAATTTAAAAATTAAATTCTCACGGTTTTTTTTTATAAGCATTTAAAGTTCAAATGTTGACAATATTTATAAAATTAAAAATTGAAAGTGATTTTGTAGTTAAAAATGTATAACATTTTCAATTTTCATAGCTAAGGATTAAAAAAATTTTAAGCAAAGTTCCACTTAAGCAATTTATTTCTTAACTAAAAAATTGAAAAAAAAAATAAATACAGTTATTTTTTACAGACATTTTAAGTTTAAATTTGGACAAAATGATATATTAACACAAAGATTAATGTTTGTCATTTTGCTGTGATTCGGTTCCAAAACAGCCCAATTTAACATAAGTGTATTTAATATTTTTTCAGCATCACTGATAATTTAAGAATAATATTATGAACAATATTAATTCAACCTGCCGGGTACCGTATTAATAATAAGTAATAATAATATAAAATATCATAGACTGATATACTATATCTCTGCTCAGAATCGTTTTTCGTATACAATGATATTATGAATTCATAAGGTTAGGTTAATTCAAATTTAATACCATCCATTACAGCGACTTTCTAGACACCTCAGTGCCACATCCACTTACCCGCTTTTTATATTTATACCAAAATAATAGTCAACAAGGAAGTTTTAAAACTAAATATATCATACGGAAAATTATTTTATGCCCCAATTTGCTTGGCATATTCTATTATTTGAGAGCATACTGTTTATATTAATAATGCCTATACTAACATATAATTTAATTATTCTTTTTGTTTTCAATTTATATGTGTCCCCAGTAGGAGGCTTCTTCCGTTAAGCTATTCATTTATACATTAAATTGTATTGGCATATAATCTTATTGTACCTGCAACCTGCAGGTGCAGATTGCATTCTGTATGAAATAAATGGGAAAATTCAGTTTTACAATATTGTATACCTAATACTATAATGTACCAATATTACATAAAACGAATTTTACGGAGTGTAATATAGGCAATTTCAATGAAAATGGAAGACACATTGTAGTAGTTCCGTATTGATAGCTGTATTGTTATAGACACATGGCATAATTAATATGCAAATATGCAATACTAAATTATTTTTAAAAACTTTGCATAAATGTATATTACATCATAGAGTAATCTACGGTGTATAAAGTATCAACTATTGTTATTTTGTTACTTGACCGAGCACCCTTTTTTTGCGATTTTTTTTGTATGTAGTTAGGTATAATGAAATCAATAGTTCCGAAGTTATATGACGTTTGAAAATGTATAATTCATCAGGGTCTGAAACTGTCTAGGTGAATAATACTTTTCTCTACGCACTTTTACAATTTATCTTAGAATTCTATAGTAAAACATAAATTTAGAGGTAAAAATGGGATTTGTTACATTTCAAGGTTGGTACACTTGAGTTTTTGATCTTCCCCTAAATTCTAATCTCTTGAAGTCCTTGTTGTGATTGTGCATTGTGAACTGTGAAGTGTAAACTGGATATTTGGTAGTTGGTACCATAGAGGCCGTACAGGAAAACAGGATTCACGACTCATGAGTTCATGTATTTATTAACAAAGTTGGTTAATTTTCTTCCTATATTTAATACTAAAGCATTCAGTTTATACTAATTACAAATTATTTACAATTGTTCATTATATTTTTAACGTAGGACGTGATAATTCAAATTAATTGCTGTGTTTAGTACAATTTCAAACATAGTATAATGGGTGAAGACAAAGGTAGTTAGTGTTTGAATTATGTTTAATACTTAATATGTAGTATATTATTGTTACAATATAATTACATTATGTTTATGTAAATTAGAAAGAGAACGAGATAGGGGTGAAAGAGGAGAACGTGATAAAGAACGAGGTGAAAGACGGCGACGTTCACGATCTAGAGACCGAGAACGACATCGCAGACATCGATCTAGGAGTCGCGAAGGACGTAAACGTAGTAGATCTAAGTCCCCTAAAAATAAGTCTAGACGTAGAAAGCCATCTCTCTATTGGGATGTACCACCACCAGGCTTTGAACATATTGCACCTCTTCAATATAAAGCCATGCAAGGTAAGCTATAATATTTAACTAAATACTTAAGTTTAAATTTTTTAATACACTCATAGTTGAAAGAATTGAATTTCAATAGCTGCTTATTATTGGTGGGATCACCACTTCAATTCGTAATATATATACCCATACCTAGTTTAAAAAAAAAAGTACCTATACTCCACACAATCTATGTTTTTGTCCTAGTTTGTGCATGTGTATCACCTTGTGTTTTCATTCATTCTACATTGCATAAGATAAATAAATGCTTGTGATGTCTGCTTGAGTTTATTGTTGGTTGAATATATAAATTATATTCATATATTATTAGTCTTATCATTGAGCACACTTCTTATTCCTATTACCATGGATATTTCCTACCTATTCAAATAATTATTTATTAAGTTGATGTCTTTCGGCTGTTGCCGTTAATGCTTAAATTGTGTATCAAACATTCAAACCATCCATTTTTTTGGAAAAATATTCTGTATATTAACATATTTTTAATTAAAATGGTAAAGTAGTAGGTATTAAAATTGCTAAGTACCTACATCATGTGCATATGTTAATTAAAATAATTATAGTTAGGTAAAAATGTAATTTAAAATATTTCAAGTTCAATTTACATGCTTTATAACTGTTTACTATCTATCTAATGTATAACCAGTTAATTAACTAATTTTTTTTTATGCCTACACTGTGTTGTTGCTTATTTTAAACAATTTGATTGAACTTCAAAAAAATTAAAATTGTAATTTAATTAGTTTATAACAAATCAATCAAAATAAATCTTTGAACAAATTGTATTGTTATATTAAATTATTTAAATGTTCAATTCTGACAGGTTTTCATTTTTAGATTAAATTTAATGTTTTAATATTTCTGTCTTAACAGTTGAATTTATCACTTTCAATACACAAAAAATGTTTCCAAATGCTCAGATGAATAACATTTTCAAAGGAGGGGAACCACCCAACACCCTTAAAAAACATGAACCGTTGTTTGTTTCTATGTTCAGCAGGCTTTTCTTATTTAGAAAGGTTGTATGAATAACAACATACCATTTGCTGGGACAAAAATATAAATTCGTTCTTAGAGATTGTCCTAGCCCGACAGTATCTTTAAATGTTTACTGTATAAATTGTGTATTTAATTAGCTGTTTATAAGTTAGCGAACTGAAGTGGCTTTATGCTCACCACTACTACTGTTTCAAGACAATTTTTCCTCTTATTGATTAAACTATATACAGTCATATTATTGGGATAAATATATTACATCTATATGAATGGTAAATTGATAATATACAGTCT